CTCATCGGCCCCCGGGACCGTCCGAAATTGTAACAATCCCGCTGACCCTCAAATGAATGTTCATAAGGTTAAAATTGCCTTTAAAAATCTTTTTACACCTTTTTTTACCAAAGCTTTTAATGCCACTTCTCACGTCATTGATATTTCTTTTTTCACTCCAATTTTAAATGTAAGATTTCGAATTTCGAAAATAGAATAAAGGATTTGGAATGAACGGTGTTTTTTATATGAGCATAAACTCAAGTGGGATTTTTTTACTTACTTTAATCATTTGCAAAGGTATTTCGAGTTTAGACCGAAAGAGGTTGGTTTGTATAATTTTTGACCGAGTACATAGGGTTAATAAAGGTCGTGACTTCTATCTGAGCCGTAACCTATTGTGGTTAGCCCACTTACAACCTTTAAGGTTCGCTTTGAACTAAGTTGTGAGTCACTTTTGAGTCTTGATAAAGCTTATCTTGTTAAAACATCCGTTGTTATTATAATAGTTGTTATAATTAATAGACAAACCGCTAATAGACAAAGTTCCTTCTGTCAAGTATATCCTTTGCATTATAAGAGCTTTAAACTATTAAAGTAGGCGCCCTGTTACGTTCATGTTATGTGAAATATATTATATGCATAGGTACCTACATAATATATGAGTAGTTCTGGTTTTTAGTGACATCATTGAGTCAACTATACAAGCACAAAATAAAGTTTAATTGAGCCTAAATACTTCATAACAATTGAATGGAAGAAAGAAAAAGTAAAATAGCTTCAAAAGGTCATTTTCCAACGTTTTATGACAACTGGTAGAGTAAACTATTTTCATTTACAACCGCAACTTTGTCGTCAAAATTGATGGTGCGTGAAAATAGTCGAATAAGATATTTTAACTTGTAGCAACATCTACATAAATACTTTTTTATGTACTTACTATTCACGCCGTTTTGAATAAAAGAATAAAAGAGTTTATGGTTTTATTAACCGAATTTATGGCCGCGGCGTAAAGTATCAGTTTGAATTTAAATTTGGAAATAGATTGTTTGGCGCGCTTTGTGTTTTTATTTATTATCTTTGTTTACCCAAAAATGTTATTTCAGTGTTCTTTTAATCTGAATGAGATTATCGAATGGGAAAATTATTAATCAAACCTTCTTTCTATCCAACTTAATATTTAAAATGGCAGATACATTATACAAAACTTAAAACCATGCAAAATAGTACAACATCCGACCAATTCTTGAAATAAACACAAGACTATAAAGACAATCTTTTAAAAGGTGTCCCATACACAGTTCTTCTTTGTCACAGTCTGGTGAAAGGTACAAAATAAATTGTTTTAAGTTGAGGACTAAGTTGTGAGACAAGGGATAAACTTGGCGACGCAAACTTACTCTGTGACAACGGTCTCTCGTCAAAGTTTCCCCAGTATTATGTTGCTAATTTTATGCCTAAGTTATATTGAGAAAAATAATTAGTGCCTTAAAGAGGCGCAATCTATCTTGATGCCTCAAGTTTTTAATGATATCGTAAAGAGCTATTGGCTTTGTTAAGACGTCGATAACATTTTTGTAGGCCTCTCATAGGCTATTTTCGGTTGGTTACTTTGTTATTAATCAAATTAGGGTATTAATTTTGTTACATTTTAGCTCTCATTTCTTTGAATCAGTGCCGGGATTAATTTACAGTAACTTTGACGTATTTTTTATGTTACATTCTGAAGAATAATATATTGAGATTTTTACAAAACATTTGCATTTATTTTCCTTCGCAAGTTTACTCTTATCGCGTTCTCATTTATAGTCATCTTGCTCTTCTATAGGTTACCGATAAAACTAAAACTGTTTACACATAAAACGCAAGAATAGCACAAAATTCAATATTTTGTAACTCTACAAGAAAACAGTTTTCTCGCAAGACTGATTTACATTTAAAAACATCATTGCACTTTAGTATGCAAAGTAACACGGAGTTAACACTATCACTATTTATTAAAGTTACCTCATAAAATGCAAGCGGATACAGAACCGCATTATCGTGCTAACGCCCAAGAAAAATATCTTAAAGAACGCGAGGACGACGTCGTAGAATTAATAAAAGATTCATGAACAAACTTACAGCTTTAAATAAAGAAAAATGTCGCTGCTTTGCAACAAAAAGTTCATCTTCCTATGTAAATTTAAAACTTGAAACGTAACGTAAACGTACGATTAAAAAACAGCAACAATATTGTGTATTCTCAAGCCACAGATAAAAAATAAAGTTGTCACTTTTCCCGCCAAAAGCGTTCCGGTAATAATACTCAAAACATTTATCACGATGTTAAATATCATAAAAAGCTGGCAATAAACCGTGGTGGAATCACCGCACGTCCGCTAACATGTCGGAACAACTCCGGGGAGGTGTAAACAGGCTGAACAGGCAACCGGGGCACAATGTCGCGTTAAATATTGTACCGCCAAACGGGACGACCCGTTTATGGTACACGGAAAGAAAAAGAAAATGGCGACGTGCATGTTTTCGATTACATAATTTTGTTTATGTAATTTCTATTACATTTCTACATACTATGTTAATAAATATAAGTAATATGACTAATGCTGCTAAATAAGTAGTTTTTACCATTTAGAAAATGGGAGTGGACTGTTTAGCTTACATAAGTATTAATTAGTATAATAAAATCTTACTTTGTTCCAAATTCACAGAATTAGGTTAGGCTAGGTTGGGCTCGCGTTTTATTACAATGAGAATATCTAATAACACAATAATGAAGTGTTGTAGTGTTTCTACTTGTTTTATTTAGTTTTGTTGTTCCAGTACTTATTACAGGTATACATATGTACCTATACTGTATACGTATAACCCAAGCTACAATATTAAATTATACTGTTCCCTCACAACTTCCACGAACAATTTCCCATGTTATAAAATATATAATTTTACGATGAAGCCTTGACTTAAACAGTAAACCCAATATTCTACGAAGAAGACCCGCATACTTACTTACCTAAAAATAGAGGGCCTCGCCCCAAGTATTTTGGGAGCAAATCAAATTCTAAGTTCGCCTAAAATAAAAGACATGAGGGCCAAATAAAAACGCAAAGCAGGGATAACAAATAACATACGACTTCTTCTAACCAATGTATTTTATGGACGTAAATCCAGCACCATCAAATAGGAATAAAATCTAACGAAGACTCCAAAGTAAAAGAGTAGACTATATAATATGTTTGCCATTTAAATGTCACCGATAAAAAAGGTAATTTCTCTATGACATTTCGGTATTCGAATAAGTTCCCGCCAATTTTTGACAGTTGACATTTCAGCCTACGTTCGGATACACAACACATTATTCAACGAAACGAACATCAATATTTTAGTCCCCAACTAAGTTGGACTTAGTTTCGTATTCTACACCGGTATGAAGTTAGCCGTAGTGGCCGTTGACAGGCTACTCCCAAAGGCTAAATATTTGACGGGCGATCGCTCACGCCCTTACAACCTCGAAGAACTTTACCCAGTTTTTCCTTTTACTTTTAAAGTTGCAACGTGAAAAACGTGATGGAAATTCTTGCTCTTGTACTTTGATTCTTTAGTATTACAACGATGATGGAGACGGTTAAAATTAACTATAGGTAAAATACAAAATAAATACAGTACCGCTATTTTGTATAACGTCAATAATTTATATGAAAATAAGTGTGGGAGAGCCAAGTTTCGGCACGAATGGGTCGGCTCGACCGGAATGATACCATGGCCTCAAAGAAAACCGGCGTACAAAATGCTTTTTGTTTTTTTGCCGTGTGAGTGAGGTTATCGGAAGCCCAATACCATTCTCCGGCCATCCCTTCTCAATCCTTAAATATTCGAACTCTCGTAACTCCTTTGGCGTTGCTGGTGTCCATATGACAAAGGAAATCAAAACCTTACATTGAAATACAGAACAGACTAACCTACTAACTGACTTCCTGCTTATGCTAGTCCAATCCCGTATTTACTTTAGATAGGGAACACGTATAACGTCGGAAGGCACACATTTCCGCAACCACGCGTACACACACACATAAATTTGAATTTGAATCGTATGTACCTTACGAAATTCAGTTATGCATAACAATAAATCCTCATTCTGATTTCTTCACCTACAGGTGTAATAGATTGAGTGAATAGATTTAACATAGACATTATTTACTGTTTTTTATTGGATTGGATGGCAAACGAATTGACGCATTACCTGATAGTAAGCAAAAGGCGCTTACGGCTAACCACAACTCTTAAAAATTACAAAGGCTTTTCCAGCCTTTATGCATAAAGCGTGGTTTAGTATTATTGTTTAGTTTATTACCTTTTGTTTCTCTCCCTTTCTATGTTAAGTCTCTTTTATTGTAATTTCGTAATATAATAATGTATATTTTTTATCACATTTCATTTCAAACATTTCTTTAGGGGTTAGGGATTTGATGATGGGTATACGTGACCTGAGTCTTCGGTAATCTCACATGGTTTAACATATTGCAAACGTCGTTTCATGCTGGTCATCGCTCTTGGTACCACGGTGATCTCACGCCTTGGAAGACGCATTCTAGCATATAAAATTATCGGACTGACTTTTTTAACTTGTGGTAAGTAATCAGCGCCGCCCATGGACACTCGTTATACCAAAGTAGTTATACTATAAGTGCGTTGCCGACTGCTTGTGGATTACAAGGCATTTAAGGATAGTGGATGCAGAAAGAATGAAGGGCCTCCAGTAACCTCACTCGCACAGCGAAACGCAACGTTAGTGTTTACGCACCGGTTTTCTGTTAAGCCGTGGTATCACTCCGGTTGCCCCAACGCATACGTGCCGAAGCATCTCTGACACTTAAAATAAGAGAAAAATTGAAAATGATAGTATTGAGTCTGTCAGTTTTAAGACTGCCTTTGCCATTCACATAAAACATTAGTCGTAACTATTTTTTCATCTGACCATGAAGTATCAAACATTTCTAACAAATTCAAAATCCTTGTTACAGATTTCGCATGCGACCTGCAAGCTAGCTGATAGAAAACCAAAGGGTTCTATACCCCAGACCAAAGGTGAGTTTTTACTTATGTTTTTTAACCTATCATAAAACGAAATTTATGTTGATTATAGACTACTACGATGGTGTCTTTTTCAAAAATATTCGGCGAACGATTGGGCGTCCGGTAACCTCACTCACACAGCGAAATACAACGCTGTGGTTCTTTCACGCTGGTTTTCTATGACCGTGATAATAATCACTCCAGCCGAGCCGACCGATTCGTGCCGAATCTTGGCTCTCTCACACTTTGCCTTTTTTCAATATGTATGTAATTTTTTTATTTATTTCGGCGCTACTGGCGTACTGTAAAGGAAAACATAGTAAGGAAATCTAGTCATTCAATTTTTAATTATAAGTTTCGCCAATGCGCCTTGACCGTGCGTGGCGATTAATGCTCAAACTGCAGTATGAGAAGAGATAATGTCCGGCCACCGTAAGCGCGGGTCTGCGGTCGGCGAGTAAGGGCAGCTCGCCGCCCGACCAGAACCAGGCCCGAGCGTACGGCGCGTAGCGTTCCGCGCGCGCCTCAAAGAGCCAATGGACCACTACAGACGGGGCCCTATAGGGCTAATGTTCAGCCGGGGTTGCGGGTTAAGCGCAATGAGTCACCGCGGCCTCGGCCCAGAGCAGGAGAAGGAACGGGGAGGTTTTTAGCCACTAAGAGTCCGACACTCTCTCTCGCAAGTCATTTGATGATTTTCCCTTGACAAAAAAATGTATATATACTTTTTGTTTGTTTGCCCCTGTCGGTGTCGACGGCACCATATTTCACGCTCCACACATCTCCTGAATAATTTATAGTTTCTATCGAGCTATAAATAACTGTACTTATAAGTATATTTCTCCTATAAATACAATATTTTGATACAGAACCGCATATTTCTAATGTTATCTCGGACTGTGAAATCATTTTCTTTTTTAAAACGTTTAGTATAATCTATTTTTTGTGGGGAGAGTATTATCAAATTACTTGTCTTTGATGAGAGGGAGTTTCAGACTCTTACTGACTAAAAGCCACCTCGTTCCTTCTCCTGCTTTAGGCCGATCCTGCGGTGCCTTATTGCGCTTGTCCCGCAACCCTGGCTGAACATGGGCGGGAGAAGTAAATTGATGATTTTACCCTGACAAAAAAGAAGTACCCTTGTGGTGTTTTAATTCGCCATATTTTAGTGGTTTGTAAATAAACTTACATGCTATATGTTTGCCATATTTTAAACTTTCATTCATTCCATCATAACATTAAATATAAAATATACAAAATATAAAATATACATATAATATGACTGCACGGTTGGTGCGGTGGCTGGGCAACTGGCTGCCATGCAACGTGTCGCGGGTTCGATTCCCGCACGGAACAACGCTTCGTGTGATCCACAAATTGTTGTTTCGGGTCTGGGTGTCATGTGTATGTGACATTGTATGTTTGTAAACGCACCCACAACACAGGAGAAAATCCTAAAGTGGGGCATTTTTTTTATATAAAAATAATATACAAAACAACCTCATTCACAAAACAGCATTAATTACAAAAACTGATCACCGAGTAACAAAATAACAGCGATTTATTTCACAAATTGGTTATTTAATTTGCAATTAGATTATCAGATTACTTTCAGTTTCAGCGAAATTATAATTTATAGGGGTCTCTTTCAGTGATTTATTGATCAACGTGTTTTAAACAAATAGCATAAATAGGATTAAATAAATTGTAGTTATTAAATGTAACTTTTAACTAAGATACATATTTTGTTTGTATTTTCCAATGCTTTTTTGATCGCTAATGCTACATCCAAATTCTTATGTATAGATTTTTTTATGTAATAGGTCGGCAAACAAGCAGACGTGTCACCTGATGGTAAGCAATCAGCGCCACCCATGGACATCCGCAACGGAGGAGTTACGAGTGCGTTGCCAAACTTTTAGGGATTAGGGATTTGGAGATTTAGGGACTGGAGAGGGATTGGGGAAGGGGAAGTATTGGGCCTCCGGTAACCTCACTCACACGGCGAAACACAGCGCTATGGTTGTTTCACGCCGGTTTTCTATGCCTAACTTCGCCCGCGGCTTCTTCCGCGTCGTATAATTATACAACACCTCAACCAAATCGGTCCAGCCGTTTTGGCAACAAAGAGTAACATATGTACATCCATACATTCTCACAAACATTCACATGGATAATATACGAGTATTTTAAGAAATATTTTCGTTGTCATCTACTTTTTCTTAGTACTAATCAAATTGGTTTTTGGAACTATAAATCTTTTACTTAGAGATTTCTCGATAAAGGTAGGTACTTCAAATAAATTTTTGAAAAGGTCGAAAGCATTTTCCATTCGCGTCGTTCAATATCAATTAGTCCAAAAATAAGACAAAAAGTACTTTTAAAAGAGCTCTTTCAAAAGAGACACTTCATTGGGTATTTATCTGACCTACAATAGTTCAAATTTGGAATCGATTTTTTTTTCAAAGAGGACAGAAATGGGTCACGCCCCATCTAAAAATCTCCTTACCGATAGGCACCGATTTCGTGTCGCTTAAGTGCCTTCAGATTTCTCCTTCGTTAGTTTATCCCAACGCTATCGGAATACGTAATTGTGGACATTTTTGTTGGATATCGATCGACCAGTTTAACTTGATCTGTCTTGTGAATTTGCTGCTTTTTATGTACGGCTCAAGTTATGATGTTAGATTCTGTGCTAGTAAAATGATTTACGGCTAGTTTGAGATTGGATTGGGGTGTATAAAATATGTTTTCCGCTATAGACTTTTACTCAACTATATGCAAACAATATCAAATGGAGGACAGTTCGAAAATATTCTATTTAGGTTACATAAATATTTGACCCCTAAAAAAACCTGGGTGTCGGAATTTTCCACCGTGGTAAAGTCAAGTCAAGTGAAGTAGATAATTATTATACCTATGATACTTCATTTACATTTTCGACCATTTTTGTAGTGATACTGAATCTGTATTCGTTTATAATGTTTATGGCAATAAGATCCAGAATAATAATAAAAAGAAGTTACAGTATTGCTGAAAAGTGAATTATATCTATATATTTAAACGTTTGCCCACCCCTGAAAAATGAAATATTACGTATTCATTAACGAAACCTAAATATTACAAATAATAAAACCAAACACATCGATCTACATACAAAGGGACAAACAAAAAACAACATAACAACGAAGGCACGAATCAAATTATTTATCAGACTTACATCGATCGCTATCAATCAACATACTTCATTGCGTACCGAACAAAAGACGCAATGTAATTGAAAACGTAGCCTTCCATCGTATTTACTGGGTCTGATTGAGTTTACGTTAGACATTGGATAGCTTTGGTTCCAATAATATCCGATATTTATTTGCGTGGTTTGTTTATACACAATTTATGGGTTTTGATGGGAAACATTGCGATGTACTTTGTTTTATTTTTCTGCCTTGTGTTAGGAAGTGGAAATATTCGATGAACAAAGACATGCGTTCTCGTACGTATCTAAATGAATTTATAAAGTACCTATGCACAGCTATGCACGAGTACAATTTTGATTCTTAATTCCTCAAATTTTTTATGTATGTAATCTATATGTATATATATACACTTTGCACAATGACGCATGGTCATATCCAATTTTCGTTGTAATGCAGCTCGACAATGCCTTTATTTATTATGTTTTCGGCTTACTCACGTAATAATTTGACGAGATACTCGACTAGTTTCAAGCCATGCTAGAGGCCCATATTCATGAGCAGCATTCCGCGACACGCGACTCGGCGACTATCTGGCGAATGTCTTTACCGATATGGCTAGTTTTGGTCTAAATATGGAAACAACCACAGCGTTGTGTTTCACCGTGTGAGTGAGGTTACCGGAGGCCCAATCTCCCCCTCTCCCTATCCCTTTCCAATCCTTAAATATCTGAAACCCTTAACCCTAAAAGACGACAACGCACTCGTAACTCCTTTGGTATTGCAGATGTCCATAGGAGGCACTGATTGCTTACCATCAGCTAATGCGTCTGCTCGTTTGCCGATCTATTCCATAAAAAATTTTTAACTTAGGTACATAAACAACAAAACAGAAGATAAAAAGAAGCAAATTACTACAATTATAATTAAACTTATACCTCTCAACGTAAAACTATAATGAATTAATTATGCGAATTTATAATTCAGTACACAACCAGTGTATTAAGCCAAAAAATTAATTAACACCTTTTTACACACATACATACATACATACAAATAGTATCTACTTATTACATGTAGCCAATTATCGGTGTTTCGTAATCCGAAATGCGTTTTCAATGTTCACGTTAAATGTAATACTGTTTGTCGGTTGTAGCGGTTACGGGAAGTGTTTAACCACAAAATATTTATTAATTACATTATAAATATTTCCCTATACTAAACTACATTAATATTATAAAGCTGAAGAGTTTGTTTGCTTGCTTCCTTTAACGTACTAATCTCCGAAACTACTAGTTCGAATATAACAATGCTTTTTTGTCAATAGGATTTTAGCTTCGATAACTGAAGCTGTATGCTATAAGGCATCAGAACTACGACCAATAGGTGTAGCAGGAGTAGCTACAGTCATATGAAACGGATAAAATTAAATTTTAATTGCATATGTTAAGAGCAAGTTGCTCTCATTATAATGTTACACCTTAGGTAACATAAACCACGCAAAGGCAGAGGAGAAATGTTGCGATGGTTTTAACCGGTAAGTGTCCATCACATCCCGTTATCGCCCCCAAGACAAGTCCATGGTAAAATCTCGTTTCAAAAAAAAAGATTCAATAAAATTGGAACAGTTTTTCCGTCCGAATACAATTTAGGTGTCTTCAAGGCTAGAGTGAATAGGCTCTTAATAAACTAGTGCGCCTTACCATCAACGATTGCATCACTGCTTACCATCAGGTGGGATCGCAGTCAAGCACTAGTTTATTGCAAGTAAAAAAAAAATACCCACAGATCATCAACCAGTTTCTTCAACCGACTACG